AACAACCTCACTCAGCTTCAACTTTTTCTTCCCCGCCGAATTGCTGATTGCCGTCACACAACCTGCCCAACTATCTGGTAACTGCGATAGAATCAATAGGGCTTGCACTTCGTCATCAAACGTGATGTCCACGGAGATAAGTTGATCAACAATTGTGTTAAACTCGCTGAGATGCATCGTGAAGGACCGTCCTTCTGCCATCTTGAGGTTGAAAAGAGTTTTGACTAGATGCACCTTGTTTGCTGCTGACGGTTGCTCGTACATCTTCGCGAGTGCTTCCATAAGCCCCACCATCGTCTTCTCCTTCAGAATATTGTGGGCTACTGATTTGGCGAGCAACAACCGGATTTTCCCTAGAGCCTTCCTATCCAGTACCTCCCAATCACCATCTGACTCCTCCTTCTTCTTTCCCTTTTCCTTGCCCATCAACGGGCGATACAAGTCCTTCTGGTATAGGTAGTCCTTCATCTGCGACTTCCAGTAGACGAAGTCTGAACCGTCAAACTTCTCAATCTTTAATTTGATTTCCTCTGCCATGGCTCTCTTTTACACAAATTGCTGAACGAAGCTCTGATACCAGTTATTGGGGATTCGAAATAATCAAATCAAATCCGTACCCTTCCGGATCTTGTGTTTGAGAGTTGAACAAGAAAGAAATTCACCACAAATCAAAGATAAAAACTTGTAGGAAAGTAAACAAGAAAGAACACACCAGATTTAACGAGGTTCGGCAACGTGCCTACGTCCTCGGGAGCCACACCACACAATTCTTTGATTACTTGAAGAAGATTACAATGCTTACAATTGGTCTCTCTCTCTCTAAGATTTCTAACCTCAAAGAGCCCTCAAAACACTCTTTTTTTCGTGCTCTTTTTCTCTCTTGAACCCTAAAGGGATGTGTTTCTATCTATAACAAAACACAGTCCCAAACAGATAGGATTCTAAAACGAATCTGTCACACCCTGGTGTGGCACAGACCACACCCATAGCAGACATGATAGACTCTGCCACACCCTGGTGTGGCGCAGACCATACCCATGGCAGACATGACAGATTCTACCATACCCTGGTGTGGTACAGACCACACCCATGGTCTGTCTTGAATTTTCATGCGATTGTTGATTTTGATTCTAGGTTTGAGTCTCCACTTTCAAGACCAACACATACCTGAGGCAAACAAATATCTGACAGGTGCAGGCTAAAGAATGTGACTCAAGGATATGGAAACAACTCCTAAAAGCTAGAAACATGATGAGGGATAAGATGGAAAGTGTTGACAACTTATTGAATGCAATTAATGGTAGCTGTGTCAATGGCAATATTAGTATATCATCGATTTACAGGGTATTTTTTCAGCAACAGGCTGTTTTGTCTGAAGGATCAGCTGGGACTATATAGGGGAGTGGAATTACCCCCAAACATTCATTCATCCTGTGGCTAGCTTCTCTCTCAAGGTTACTCACGCAAGAAAGATTGTGCAAAATGAGACTGTTAAGCTCAAATTAGTGTATATTGTGCTCAAGTGATTGCCAAATAGAAACCTGTCAACATATCTTTTTCGATTGTCAATACTCTGCGTGTGTTTGGAGAAAAGTGATGGAATGGCTGAAATTCAACTGGCAGTCATGCAATTGGAACCAGATTTTCAATTGGTACAACAGGAACTTGAGGGGAAAAGGCTTCAAAAAGAAGTTGAAGAGAATTGCACTGTCAGTATCTATTTATCTGCTATGGCAAGAGAGAAATCAAAGAATTTTTTAGCAGAAAGCTCGTGGATCTGAGCAACTATTTCGTGCGGTGAAGATCTGTATATACACAAAGATTTTGAATGAAAATATACCACATCATATGAAAGATTACATTGAGAGTTTGTAAAAGAATGTTGACTGAGTTTATATAACCAGTCTTTGGCTTTCTTGTAACTTTGATGTGCGCATACATTTCCACACTTGGTGATGAATAAAATTCTCATTCATTGACAAAAAAAAAAAAAAAACAAGCTGTCTTAAACAAAAAATTTATGATACCTATCTTAGTTCTTTCTTTCCGCTGCAGTCAACTTTTCTCTGGAAATTTAGAACTGTATTCTAAAGGTAATTAAATTGCAGCAGCAAGCAAAAGAGGGAGTTCAAAGAATTAACAAGTCAACTGGTCGTGTAAATTAAATAGAGAGTCATCTAACAGAAGTGTATATCCTAATTAAGCAAAGAACCTATGTATATTCTTTCACCAAATATATTCTTGTAAAGTACAAATTCTACAATCTCAAGAAAATCATGTCTATAATTAGTTTAGTGTCTCTTTAATAAGAGCCGTGGGTGAAGTAGTTCCGAAGCACCCTTGTAATGTAGTTTAATTACGTTTAAAGCTATAAAAGCAGATAGACATCTTTTGATGATAAAAGAACTAATCACAGGTAAAAAAAAAAAAGAACATTTGTCGCATAAAAAAGAATCAAAGATTTCAAAGGTGCAAATAGAGAAAATGGTTTGTAATGGATGAATGCAATGAATGAAGTAAATTGAAGAGAAAATTTATTTGCTTAATTGCATGAGAACTTTTTTTTTTTGTCAATGAACGAAAACTTTATTCATCACCAAATGTAGAAATGAATGTGCACATCCAATTACAAGAAGCCTAGAGACTGGTTATATGAATCCAGTCAACACTCATTTACAAATTCTCTATGTAATCTTTCATATGATGTGGTATATTCTCATTTAAAATCTTTGTGTATATACACAACTTCACCGCATGGAATAGCTGATCAGGCCCTCTGGCTTTATGCTGAAAAAGCCTTAGATTTCTCTCTTGCCAAAGCAGATAGACAGATACTAACAGTGCAATTCTTTTCAATTTCTTTTTGAAGCCTTTACCCCTCAAATTCCTATTGTACCAATCAAAAATCTGGTTCCAACTACATGATTGCCAGTTGAACTTCAGCCATTCCATTACTTTCCTCCAAATATATGCAGAATATTGACAATCAAAGAAGATATGCTGACAGGTTTCTACTTGGCCATCTCTCGAGCACAATATGCACTGGTTAGAGCTTAACACACTCATTTTGCATAGCCTCTCTTGTGTGAGTAATCTGGAGAGGGAAGTTAGCCACAGAATAAATGAATGTTTGGGGTAATGCCACCCCCCCCAAACAGTCCCTGATCCTTCATACAAAGCAGGCTGCTGCTGAAAAAGCACCCTGTAGATTGATGAAATGCTGATATTATTATTAACACAGCAGCTATTAATTGCATTCAGGAGATTATCAACACTTCCCATCTTATCCCTTATCATGTTTCTAGCTTTTAGAAGCTGTTTCCACATCCATGAGTCACAATTTTTAGACTGTATCTGCCAGATACTAGTTTGTCTCAGATATGTGCCGTGCACCCACTTAATCCACAGAATATCCTTTTTAAGATGTATCATCCAAAGAAGCTTAGCTGCTGTTGCATAATTCCAGAACTTAGCTGAAAATAAACCCAAGCCGCCATGCTTTATGTCCTGACAAACAGAGCTCCAAGATACTAAGTGGATTTTGTGACCCCAAAGGAAACTAGAACACATGCTGTCAATTCTTTCAAGCACCTTAACAGGGAGTATGAAGTTACTTGTCCAGAAAATTTGAATACCCAAGATGACCGATTTTATCATTTGCAATCTCCCAGCATAGAACAAAGTTCTAGTATTTTGCCAGTTTTGAAACTGATCAGATATCTTGTTGATGAGAGGAGAGCAATCAAGACATGAAAGCCTTTTTGAGATAAGTGGCATCCCCAGATATTTAATAGGCAACATCCCCTCTGAAAAATTAAGACAGCTGCAAATCTGGTTTTTTAGGCCATCTTCAACTCCACTCATAATGATTGAGCACTTAGAGGGATTAGGATTCAAACCAGAGACCTGACTAAACTCCATTAGGCAGTCCCTCAATCTTGTAATAGAGTACATATCTGCTTTACTAAACAAGAGGAGATCATCCGCAAATATTAAATGTGACAGCTTCAATCTTGAACACTTGGGATGAAATTTAAACAATCTATCATTCTTAAGGGTGTTTAGCTTGCGAGACAAGTATTCCATCCCAATAACAAACAAATATGGAGAAATGGGGTCACCTTGTCTTAACCCTCTAGCTCCTTGAAAGTAGCCATGAAGAACACCATTAATGGATACTGAAAACCTGGGAGTGGAGATGCATTCCATAATCCAGGAGATCATAATATCAGGGAATCCTAATCCTTTCAACATAGCTCTTATAAAACCCCAATTAATGGTATCAAATGCTTTTCTAAGGTCAATATTCAGAACAGCTCTAGGGGAGATGTGCTTTCTACCATAGTGCTTGACTATTTCATGAGCTAGAAGAATATTACTAGAAATTATTAGATATTTCTAGTAATTGGTATATTATTTTGTTAACTAGTTTGAAAATTCACTCTGTAAATAATGGTAAAAAAAATATCGTAGAAGCTTTTATAACTAGTTATATATAAAAAATCATATTATTAATTTGGCGACAGATATAACTCGGTAAATAATACTCGATCGTAACAATGTGCATGCTTAATACTAGTGCTTTTAATGCGAGTTTTAACCATTCAGAACAAGGACAAAGACACTATATACATCTCTAGCTCTTCACTCTCTCTAGCTGCAGTGCTACTCCTAAGCAAATCCCTCTCTGTTGCAACAATAGAAAACAGTCACACACACTCACATGCATTTGCCTCTCAAGAACAGCATCTCACTGTCTCCCCATACAAATCTCCCAGTAAAAAAGATTCCATAAATGGTTTTTATAGAAAATCATACACGAAGGAAACAGGACTATATTACTTATAAATTTAAAAACTATACAGTATATAAGTGACCGGAAACGAGTGAGGATATACGAGCACAAAGTAAAGCAAACTATAGGATATATATATATGAGCTAATTAATTAGCCACGAGATTGTAATGTGCATTTGACAAACGATTGTAACATGTAACTCTCTAGATAAGAAGGCCAATAGAGAGAAAGAATCTTGATCCCTTATCTCCTTGCAAGCTCCAGTTAATGTTAGCTTTCTGCTTAAAATAAGAAGATTCACAGTCAATTAATCTGTCATATTTCTTGATGCATTCTTTTTCCTTTGCAATCAAAACTGAGTTGAAAAGATCATCATTTAATTGCTTTTGAATATCTGCTAACTCTTCCTTTGCTCTACATACTTGCTCACTTATATTCATGAAATGATTTTTATTTAGCTCTTTAAGGGCATGTTTAAGCTTTTTGAGCTTAGTATGAAATCTGAACATATTGTAGCCTTCACTGCTTTGATCCCATATAGAATGAACTGTTGAGATAAAATCAGGGTGTTTCACCCACATATTGAAGAACTTGAATGGCCTTTTCCCCTCAGGAATATCATCTTCAATGGTAATTAAAGCTGGAGAGTGGTCAGAGCAATTTGGAATGAGATATTCCACCTGACTTGAGGTGTATGAGTGGATCCAGTCCTCATTCACTAAGCACCTATCCAGTCTAGACCAGATTCTGCTATCAGCTTCCTGTTTGTTACACCAAGTATAGTAACAGCCAGTAGATCTTAAATGCAACAGCTGACCAGCATTAATAAAGTTTTGAAAATCCTCTGTGTCAGATTCTGTAACTGGCAAACCTCCAATTTTCTCTTCACAACTTGCTATAGCATTGAAGTCTCCACCAATAAACCATGGACTGTTAACACCTTGCTTTAAGGTAAGTAAATCCCTCCATAGATTTTTCCTGCTGGCCAAATGGTTTGAGGCATATACAATAGTGCATAGACTGAAAAACCTTCCATCTCTGGATTCAATAGTGCATGTAATACATTGTTCTGAGAAAATAACATTTTGAATTGTCAAAATATCATTGTCCCAGAGAATCCATATTCTTCCATTTCCAGCTTCTTGTACATTAGAGACCCATTTCCAGATTTTGGTAATTTTATTTGCTAGACTTTGCAGTTTTGTTTCAGAGAGCTTAGTTTCCAAAAGAGCTAATAAAGAGAGATTATATTCCTGAATAAAATGCTTGACTATTGCATGAGAACTTTGAAGGCATAGGAAGTGATTATATTTTTTTATATTCTTGGACATTGAAGAGAATGAGCCTAGCTTAGCTGCGTTGTCATTTTTTGAGAAGTTGCAGATAAAGATTTTTCTCGATATTGGCGTTTTCCCCTTTTGTCTAAGTTGATTTTTCAGTCAAGATTTATATTACTGGTTAAAAAGGAAATTTCACAAAACAACCTGACCTCTAGAATGAGTTGCACAAGACCTCTCAAATTTTCTAAAAAAGGAGAAACCCTCCCAACTTTGGAGAGTTTCACAAAACTATATATGTCTACTTTTGAAAAGGTCCACAAATTGAAATATTCTTTTTAAATAACAATTTACATCTCTGTGTAAAAACATAAAAAGTATTTTCCTTATTTTTTTCTCATTTCTATCTATCTTCTCTTTCGTGATAAGCCCTAGAACGAACTTTGACATCAAGTTGTTTAGAGCTTCTCCAATGTGAGGCTCTATTTTGGAGCCCAAACTTTGGCATATTCTTTAGAATATGCTAAAATAGAGTTATGTAACTCCAACCACACTCCTCTATTTCCAACTCCATTTCAATTTCTCTCAATTTTTTAATTCTTTTACTTATTTTAAAAATATATAATGTAATCATATATTTAAATAAAATTAATTTTTTTTAATGAATTGATAATAAGAAATAGATAATTGTCTTTAAATTATAATATATTTTTATTTTTAATTACTTGGTTCTTGGAATTTTATATTTCAATTAATATTATTTAATATTACTCTCATTTTGAATATTTAAAAAATAAAAAAATAAAAGTTATATAATATAAATAATATTTTTAATAATATTATTAAATGTATTAATATAAAATAGGCAATCTGATTAAATTAAACAGATATTCATATTACTAAATCCACGACTATTACATAGAAAGCAAAAACATGAATTGAAAATTACATGACAAATAGGAAAAACATAATACATGAAAATACTAAAAGTCTGGAAAGTCAACTCCTCCGTATCCACCTCCTCTGTAGTCAGGTATTCCGTATTGACTTCCTGCGTAGCTGTATTCAGGATTAGGAATATCAAAGTATTACTCCTCCTGCTCATTATACAATTCAATGAAATAATTATGATGTCGGTTATTATTTAGCCGATGGCATATAGCCGAAATGGCCAACCCTTGTTCAAACCATTTCCAAATCCGAAGATAAAAAGAAACATTATTTTGCAATGATGTAAGAAGCTTGTCGAAAAGATGTGGAGCGAGCGTTTGGTGTTCTCCAGTCAAGATTTGTTATAATCAAGGGCCCTGCACGGTTTTGGGATAAACGAACTTTGCATGATATCATGACCACTTGCATAATAATGCACAACATGATTATTGAGGATGAACGTGATGAGCAAGAAGATATTATCGTTTCTACTCCACCATCAATTTCAAATGTTGAAGACATAGGGATGAACGATGTCGAACGGTTCCGACAATTCCTGGCCCGGCATAAGAAATTCAAAGACAAAGAAGCACACTTCGCACTTCGAAATGCATTAATTGAACATTTGTGGGAGAGACACGGCAATGAAGTGATGTAACTTTTTTTATTAAAGTTTCGATGTAATTTAAGTCAATGACAGGAGAGCTTGAATCAGATCCTTAAGATAAGCGAGATTTTGAAGTTTTGGAAGATGCAGAAGGCATGATGCTTATATTTGCCTACTTCTCTGCATTCTTCAAAATCGGCCAAACATGATCAAATAGAAATCCTCTTTTCTCTTCTGGATCTTCTGCAAATATGATCCTAGCACGTTTATTCTACCACAAAAGAAGAAATAATTATTAGAAAAGGTGGAAAATAATTTAATAACCAAGAAACATGTAATTCATATACTTACAATATCAAGTTCAGAAGCACCGCTTGGATTGAGGCGCTCGACTTGTCGAATGCATCCTCGAAATTTACTGATGGCTTTCATAATTAATTGCATTCGGCATGAGAGAGACTTCGGGCTCCTATGTCCGGTGTAAACGTTGGAAATCCTTTCGTAAAATAGAGCTGAAATTCGCTCCTATAGCTTGTCTTTCTTTTGATTGGAACCTAAAACTGGATCCTGAGATATTTCAAGCCATGTAGCGCATAAAATTTGATCTTCTTCTTGTAAGAATGATTTTCCGCGACTGGATGCCATAAGAGAAGGACGAAGAGTTGTTGAGAAGAACTATGGAGGAGGAATGAGAAGAGTTGTGATGAAGGAATGAGGGTTGTGCTAGTATTTATAGTGAAAAATTTATGGAGAATTCAATGCTAGTGGGAGAAAGGAATGTGGGTAGAAAACGATGTGGGTAGGAGAATCCAATGTGGGTAGAAAACAATACGGGAAAAAATCCAATGTGGGTAGAAACCGATGCGGGTGGGAGAATCCAATGTGGGTAGAAACCGATGCGGATGGGAGAATCCAATGTGGGTAGAAACCGATGCGGGTGGGAGAATCCAATGTGGGTAGAAACATTATATAATAACACAACATACACCTATTAACAACTCATCACCAATCTATAATTCATTTCTCCAAATCCCCTCTTCAACAATGAACTATGGAGCTGGACCATCACACCTACCATCTTATTCTTCTTCTTCTTCTGATGACGAAACATTTTCTCATTACGTTGAACAATGGGAGGAGGATATGAAACAATGGGAGGAGGAGGATGAAATCTTAGCTCGTCTATATGTCGCTAACAATAAAATAATGGCTTATTTCGCTAAAGAGGAAGAGAGGCCAAAACGTATCGGCTCAGTTCCTGGTCATTTGGTAATCAACCGTGGGAGGGAAGAAGGTAATTCTCGACTCTACAATGACTATTTTTCTGATAATCCCACATACGGTGCAAATTTATTCCGTAGAAGATTCCGAATGCAAAGGAGCCTTTTCCTTCGTATCGTCGATGCTGTACGAGAGCACGATAACTATTTCGTACAGAAGGTGGATGGTGTCGGTCGGCTTGGACTATCTACTTTACAAAAAGTAACAGCAGCATTTCGCATGTTGGCATATGGTGCACCAGCAGATAGTACCGACGAATATGTAAGGATTGGTGAGTCAACTGTTATTGAATGTTTGAAGAGATTTTGCAGAGCAATTGTAGAAGTGTATGGAGATGAATATCTTAGATCCCCCAATACCGACGATGTTGCAAGACTGTTACAAAAAGGCGAAGAGCGAGGTTTCCCAGGAATGTTGGGAAGTCTAGACTGTATGCATTGGGAATGGAAAAACTGTCCAACAGCATGGGCGGGACAATACTCAGGACGTCACGGAGGCCCAACCATTATTCTTGAGGCAGTAGCATCGTCTGACCTATGGATATGGCATGCATTCTTTGGTTTGCCAGGTTCTAATAATGATATTAATGTATTACAAGCATCTAATTTGTTTGACAACCTAACGCAAGGTATTACTCCTCCTGCTCATTATACAATTCAAGGAAAGAATTATGATGTCGGTTATTATTTAGCCGATGGCATATACCCAAAATGGCCAACCCTTGTTCAAACCATTTCCAAATCCGAAGATAAAAAGAAACAATATTTTGCAATGATGCAAGAAGCTTGTCGAAAAGATGTGGAGCGAGCGTTTGGTGTTCTCCAGTCAAGATTTGCTATAATCAAGGGCCCTGCACGGTTTTGGGATAAACGAACTTTGCATGATATCATGACCACTTGCATAATAATGCACAACATGATTATTGAGGATGAACGTGATGAGCAAGAAGATATTATCGTTTCTACTCCACCATCAATTTCAAATGTTGAAGACATAGGGACGAACGATGCCGAACGGTTCCGACAATTCCTGACCCGACATAAGAAATTCAAAGACAAAGAAGCACACTTCGCACTTCGAAATGCATTAATTGAACATTTGTGGGAGAGACACGGCAATGAAGTAATGTAACTTTTTTTTATTAAAATTTCGATGTAATTCTAAGTTAATGTGTTTTATTTCAGTTTAAGCTCCAATGTATTATCATTTCTAATTACTTGTTTTGCAATTTTATATTTCGATATTAGTCTCATTTTGAAGGTATCGACGAGACATTTCCAATGATATTATTTTCATTAAAAAATATTTAATATATTAATATATATATACAGATTTTAAGTAACTATAAAAATTAATAACGGGATACAATTGGAATAATGAAATGTTGTTAAAGAGATTGAGGGTTAACTTTGGTAATTTTTTGGGGAATAGTGGTATAGAGTTGGCTGCAAATTTGGAGAGAAATCTCCAAATTTGCAGCCTCAAGCTCCGGTTTTGCAGCTGACTGCAAAATTTGGGGTTCGGTTGGAAGATGCAGCGGCTCCAAAATGGAGAAAAGGAGGACGATTGGAGCTGCTCTTAGAGGGGGAAAAAAATTTGTCAAAAGGTTCAAGATGAACTTTTACAAAGTTCAGGGTTTATGTGAAACTCTCCAAGATGTAGGGGAGTATTCTGTAATTTTCAAAGTAAAATGTTTACGTGCATCTTAAAACCAAAGTCAGTTCTTACTTTATTTTATTTTATTTATTTTTGATATCTATCCTTAGTAAGTAGAAAAGAAAGCTTTCATGGATTCTGTTAACAATAGGATAATGGTCTCTAAATCCTCAAAATTTGCAATTGATATAGTTTTTGCTTTCAGAGATATGATTAAAAGTCCCATTAACTATCAAAAGCTTTCTTTGTATTCAAAAGAAGTGGATTCTTGGCAGTATTTTGGTTTATGATAAGATAATAAGCTTATATCTATTAATTAGAATTAATTAGAATGAGATAAGATAATATGTAATATCTAAAAATATCAGGAGTATTATTGTCCATTGAATGTTTTTCCCAAACTACTCCTACTTTTAAAGGGAGTATGGAATATGACATGATATGATTTTATACAAAGTACTAGACTTGTAGGTTGTTTCTCTCATTTTGTCAATTGGCGGTGGGCTCAATATTTAGCTTTATTGAGTTCCATAGCCCAACTTTGTTCTAAAAAATATGATTCCATCACATTTTATTCTGACACAGCTCCTTCAAACAGGAACCTTTAATGTAAAAACTTATTTTGAAATAGTAGTAGTTTATTTGTATTTCAAACTCACTATTTCACTCTTAATTATGTGTTGTTGGTTTCCTAATTGCATGAAGTGGCTAGCAATGCAATCTCATTTACAGAAGCCAGAAGCTATAGTTGCAAGGTAACTTGGTTAGTTTTACAACTGTAGCCCATTGCACTACAATTCGAAATGTCATGAAGTAAACTTGAAACTTCCTTCTCCTTTATTTTTTTCCCCATAACATCCAATTTCATAATATATATATATATATATATTTAAAGGAGCTAACAAAATGAAGAACACATGACTTTCATTTATCAGTGGGATGCGTTGTGGTGTCAACTCTAAAAAGCGTGCATATACCGGTAACTGTCAGTCATGCTCCATGATCCAACCATTAGCTCTTTTATGGTCTTTAAACATGCAAGCAGTGGTACATGGTGCCTCCAGAATTTTGTCTCAGTACTGTCCTCGTATATATTGTCACAGTTATATTTAGAGCTGTATTGATAATTTTACAATTTTATCTCTTTTAATGATGTCCTATCTTAATTCTAGTGGTGTTCTAAATATAAGTAAAGATAAATAAAAATATGTATAAAATAGTCAATCCAGTGGAGTCCTGTGACACCATTAGACATTGTGATTCCGCCATTGGTGACAGAGGTGCATAAGCTTTAGTGGTGTCATTGGATATCATTAGATTATCTACTTGATGGACATTTTTTTACATTGGTTTACGTGTATTTTCTACTTCACATGCCGATAGCTAGAAATAAGATAGGACACCATAGAGGAGGATAATCTTGAAGATTTCTTGTTTCAATGAACTCATAAGTAATATGACGTCACATAAAATTCCTGATCTGCCACTACATGCAAGTGATAGATGCAAAACCAAACCAAACCTTCTTGTGGATAACCTAAAAATGTAGTGGAATTGACTATAAAGTGGAGGAATTAACAAAATGCATACAACTATTTGCTTATCTTTTATGGTCTCAAACATTGCAACTGACGATGCAAAACCAGTGAATCTTCTCGTGGATAATCTAATTAACAATGAGGTGGAATTGACTATAAAGTGGAGGATTTAACAAAATAGACACAATGAGATGAAATGATGCACACCACATTTTCCAGGCCTTTTCCTCGCCTACCACAACCCAACGAAGAAGTATACATGCTCCGGGTAGGACTCCACTACGCCAAGTGCTAAATTTTTTAGATGAAACTTCTTTAAATATTTGTGAGTATGGCTTAATGATCCACGCACGAGAGCTATCACCATCTTTGCTGATTATACTTGCATATAAAATTATTTATAGTCTCCTGTCTCCCACTCCATTGTGAGTATAGCTCAATCATTTATGGGAACCATAGTCTCCGTTGCTAATTTGAACAATATCGGGCATCATTCATCATTTGTTCCTCAATCCGACCTTGGCCTAAGGAAATCACGACTTAATACATTAGTCATCTTAGAATCTATCACCATCTAGGACTAGTGGGCTAACCTAAAGTCAGCCGTTCTTCCTACATCTTCAAGCTTGACATTGGATTTTTTACTTTTTCTTAGGTCACAACCTCGACTCTTATACATCTTTTTGAGTGAGTGATCAGGCCCAACCGACACTTAACGAGCCTTATACTGATTAAGAAACAAATTAACCTGAAAAACTTAAGCTATTAGGTATGGAGTCTGACTCTTACTTAAATCCATCATTCTTTTCATAATTTCTTACTTACACATGAACTTCTTTACATATTTTTCTATTGGATCCAGGATGCAAGCCTAGAAGGGGTGGGGTGGGGGTGAATAAAATTGCTACAATTTTTCGACTAACTCAGAATAAGTAGAGAAAATATAATAAGCGAAAAACTAAAAGCAAACTAATGCATGAACATACGAGATTTTTATAGTGGTTCGGATCAAAATCCTATATTCACTCTTCCTTCTCGTGAATGACCTTCCTCACTATGACCAAAGTTCACCTGAATATTACAACCTGATTTAATAGGCTTCAAAGGCCGCACCTTGGGATCTTCTCGAAACTAGTCATCTAACCTAACTCTTCACAATGACCAGAAGAAACCTAGTCCTAGCTAGCCAAACCCTCAATTACCCTGGCTTGAGTATGACAAACCTCAATTAACCCGGCTTGAGTACGCTGTAAAACTTACAAGTTTGAATACAACCAATCAAAATAATTAAAGCACAAAAAGAACAATCTTACAGCCCTTTATTAAATTGTTCTTCAAATCGATGAAGACGAAGATCCATGAAGAAGCGGTGTAGTGGTGTAAGTGTAGATCACTCCTTCTCACTGAATTAAACTCTGATGAAAAGTGCACTGAGAAGAGGTTGAATGGGCTTAGGGGATTTGATCAATTCTCTCTCTCAAACCCAGAACAAAGATCTCTCCTTTTCGTATATTTGCCTCCTTAAACTTCTCTATTGTTTTCTATTCTATATGATCTCTAACTCTCTTTAAATAGGCCTTGATAGGACATGAAAAAGATACCCAAATCTGAGTGCAAATAGGAGATCAAAGGTTCAACGAACAGTTGAGATTAAATCTTATAAACTTGTCAAAAATGCCAAAAACACCTCATAAACATTGGTGGTGATCATGATCATCGACGGTCCATTTGTGATTATCGATGATTTGACTGTAGCCATCGATGGTGTTGATTTTGGTTTTTAGATTTCTTAGATTGTCTCAAGTAGTCATCGACGGTCCTTGTGACCATCGATGGTGCACTGTAGTCTATCGATGATGACAATTCGTATTTTTATTTTCTCCAATTTATTCCTATAACCATCGATGGGATGCTTGACTATCGATGGGTCACTGTTAACCATCGATGACTCGAAGGCTGAAATCAACATTCGTGTTGACTTTGTATCGTTTCAAACCGCATCTTGCTCGTACATGTTTATACCTGAAATCTATCTTCTCATAAAACATATCAATAGTAAATGAGAGTTTGTTAAAATCAAACAAGAAATATTGCACAAACAATGTTCTAACATTTTCCTCTTCATGGAAACAACTTTTTCTTATAGAAAAGTATGTTAAAATTGTTAGTAGTCTGTGGTCTCTAGATTGTTTCTTTTAACAATGAAGAAAGCCAATATCTTTAAGAATTTCAACAAAACATGAACCAAATATGGTGGACATCTGCCACAGCTATTAAGCTTGTATATGTTCTCCCAATTACAACAAAAAATAGAAGGGTGGGCTTCAAATAAGATCCCTTGTAATGATGAAAAAGCTAAGGTAAGACCACTTAATTTGCCAACTAAAATTTTTTGACACATAATCACGAATTTAAGCTTGAAAACAAAAAAGTACAGTCATCAATAACAATACCTTGATTGTATAAGCAAACAGAGGATTCACAGGCAGCTCACTTAATTTGTCAACTAAAATTCCCCTCAAGCTTGCAATATTCTCCACCATCTCTGGGTTCAGACCATTTCCCTATAATTCTTGATAGTGGGGGTATTCAGCCAGCTTCACCTCTATTTAGGTTTGAAAGAAGTTGGTTCCACCATAAGAATTTCATTCCTTTTATAAAGTGTAAATGGAATTCTTTTCAATGTCAAGGTTCTCCTGTGGATATCTTCATCTCGAAATTAAAACTCCTTAAGAGAAGAATCAAGTGGTGGAGAAAAAATGTCATTGGTTCTCTATCTTCTAGGAAATCAGCTTTACTTTCCAAAATCAACATCCTTGACTTGCTTGAAGAACAACGACCACTCTCCTTATCAGAATCAAATGATAGGAAATCCTTGCAATCTTCCTTTACATCTCTCATAAAGGAGGAGGAAACTTGTTGGAACCAAAGATTCAA